CTCTCACACACACACATATATACACACGCACACAAAGCTGTTGCGGATCTTGAGAGTTTTACTATGGCACTGCAAAGTAGCTCAAGGGGGAACATGCTGCTCTCAAGTGGGTTCGTTGGCCTTCTTAGATAGGCTACGATCTGCTTCAATTCCATTTTGAATGGAAGGATACCGACTCTAATTTTCTGAAGGGCAACATCCCATGAAGAATATTCTTGAACGAAATCAACATCCGAATCGCTAAAATTTCCCCTTTTATTCACTTGCCACGTGAATTATCCAGCGTGCACGCAACCTAACACATCTGTTATTTGTGATAGTCCCAAATTATATATATATATATATATATTATATTTAAGATGAGTGCTTACTTAAGTGCGGAAATATAAAATATGGAATAAAGAAAGAATTTGAGTATATTTTTTATAAAAAAATTAGGAGGGAGATGGAAAAAAAATTCATACGCATCTTTCTCCTCCTTAAATATCAAACCAATATTCGCTAATGAGCAAAAAATATTTTTTCTTTTCCTTCACGATTACAATGGCTGAAAAATGTTATTATCAATTGTCCCAACAATTAATCGCCTATAAATTTTCAAAATAGACACCAAATATGGGTTTTTGGTATTCTTCCAATTATTAATTTTAATTATTTTTTACATTGTACGACTAATTACATCGTCAAATGCCTGTTTTAGCAGGCTTTGTTTATAATTCCTCAACATGAGAAATAGTATTTATTCAAAACCCATCAATCCGTCGGCCTTTGAGAGCGGCTCCTTCACGCTCTCAATGAATTGCCACTTCGAGGTCAAGACGGTGTCCACCACGTGGAGGGATCTCGGACCACGCTAGAAGACACACCGACATACATATCCACTCTGGATGAACGAGGCGGAACGGGCTTGGTAGGCTTCTTCTTATTCTTCGCCCTATTCCTCCTCCTCCAACTGGAGATGGCAGATTGCGTTCACAAGCTCTCCCTCCTGCCTTCGCCGGAGATTCTTCTTCCCCTCCATCCCCGCAGAGTCGCCGTCGTCACTGGCGCCAACAAGGGCATTGGCCTGGAGGTCGTCCGGCAGCTAGCCCTCCATGGCGTCACCGTCGTCTTAACAGCCAGGGACCAAGGCAGGGGAACCAGGGCCGTCGATTCCCTCAAACTGCCGAATGTGCTCTTCCACCAGCTCGACGTCCGGGACCCCGGCGGCCCCCCTGCACTGGCCGACTTCCTCACTGCCCGATTTGGCAGCCTCGATATCCTCGTACTTCTTCTGGGCATTTCCTCGAACATCTTCTGCACGCTCATTTCTGACCACCTCCTTCCTCCTCCCTCCCACCACTATTCACAAACCCTAGGTGAACAACGCCGGGCACGGCGGGGTGACGACGGACGTCGAAGGTCTCAAGGCCCTGAACATCGATCCCCGCCAGTGGGTAACTTCTGCACTCTAATTTTCTGCAAATCTTGGGCGAGCCCAAGTTTCTTCATCTGACCGTATTCGATCCAGCTCTCCGGCGGCGCAGCCGACCTCGTTCGAGGCGTGATCAAGCAGGACTATGAAGGGGCGGTGGCCTGCATAGACATCAACTACTTCGGCTGCAAGCGGGTGACGGAGGCCCTGCTCCCTCTCCTGCAACTCTCCTCCTGGGGAGCCACCATCGTCAACGTCTCCTCCCTCCGATCAGAGCTCAGGGTACGGAGGGATAGAAAGAGAAACACAGAGAGAGAGAGAGAAAAGACTGGTTTTTCCTCACTTGACTCCTGCTGGTGCAGAGGATCCCGGGAGAGAGGATAAGGAAAGAGCTGGGGGAGATGGAGGGCCTGAGCGAGGAGAGGATCGAGGAGGTGCTGCGGAGGTTCCTGGAGGACATGAAGAGGGGCGACCTCGATGGCGGCGGCTGGTGCCTGATGCTGCCGGCGTACAGCATCTCCAAGGCGGCGCTGAACGCCTACACGCGGGTCCTGGCGGCGCGCCACCCGGCGATGAGGATCAACTGCGTGCACCCCGGCTATGTCGACACAGACATCAACTGGCACACCGGCATCCTCACCGTCAGTGAGGGGGCCAGAGGGCCGGTGGCTCTCGCCATGCTCCCCGCCGGCGGGCCTTCCGGCTGCTACTACGACCAGACCACCCTCGCGAGCTTCTTCTGATCGTCTCCCCCACCCACCCTGAGGAAAAGTATTTGTTTCGATCGATCAATTTCCCGTCCATCAACATCCCCATGAGATTACGTTTCGAAGTCAACGTTATCCGGATGTTTTTCTGTCCTAAGTTTAATCTTCCAACCTTCAAACTCTATGCTAAGAACAAGGAGTCAATCTACTCATATCGAATTATTTAAAAACACGTTGACTTGGGTCTCATGTCGAATTATTTTTTGGGTAAAATTAATTTGATTATATATTAATTGTAGTAAACTTTAATTAACAAGGTTCTTGGTATTTTTTAGTGGAAAAATATCCACACAGTAATCTACATCCCAAAAGGCTATTTTCCATGATAAATTAATTAAGATATTTGATTTTTCAGATTTGATCGATAGAAATCTATCAATAAAAAAATCCATCAGTAATTTTTCGTTCGTTTTTATTTTTTGTTTCTAGAGCTCTTCCACTCACGATTACTTGCAATACAATTTATATAGTACTAGCTTGCTTTTTTATTAAATTAACATTCATACAAATTTTATAATGACCGTTCTATATATGAGAGAGAGAGAGAGAGAGAGAGAGAGAGAGAGAGAGAGAGAGAGAGAGAGGTCCCATGTGACCTATCGAGCTGGCCATTAGAAGACCACCCTTGCTGATTCCTGCATGAATCACGATGAACAAACGCGATCCAAAGGCCACGGTACGAGATCAAAAAGCCCGTATAAAAAGATGAAATTTTCCTTTCAAAGAAGAGATCAGATCACCGCCCTAGATGAACATCTGAAAACACACAGAATATGTACTCGCAGCTACAGATTTCAGTCAATTGCTAAGAGGAGGTTCTTCTCTCCCCGTGAGCCGCTCCTTACCAACCTACGCCTTCAGCTTGCCTCCAACCCCCCGCTTGCTGTGCCAAGCCCGATCGCCGCCCATCTGGTTCCTCTTGGCAGCGACGACAGAGCACTGCTCCGAGCTCCCACTCCGGCCACTCCAATCAAGCTGCACCTTCCTCCGCCTCATCCGGTTCTCCAATCTGATCCCTCTGAGGGCTCTAGCTCGCTTCTCCATCTCCAGGGCCTGGGAGAAGTTCCACACCCTAACCACACCCTCCTCGCCACCGCAGCAGATCCTGTCGGCGCCAACTGCCACCGAGAAGATGTTGCAGCCAAAGCCATGGAGCATCCTCTGTGGTGGCTCCGCCGCACCCGCCAGAAACCGGCGGCGGCCTGACTCCAATAGCTTCCTCACGTCGATGAGGGCGAGCCTCCCGTCGCTGGAACATGAGACGAGCCAGGGGAACTCGAAGGCCAGGGACTGCACCGCTGCCGTGTGAGGGACCCAGGTGGCGATTGGCCTTGAACTGCCACCATCGCATCCAGTGAGCTCAAACAGGCGCACGGCTCCGTCTTCCCCGCCGGTGAAGAGCAGATCCTCGGAGTGGGTCCTCGCCAGAGCATAGGCATTGCCCACATGGGCATTGTTGATTACTGCCAGCTGATTCCCGTCTTCAATGTCCCAGATGTAGGCATCTCCGCCAGCGGTCGTGGCGACGGTGGTCCTTCGAGGAACCAGAGACCAAACCCAGTCGCCATGCCTTAGCACCATGGAGCACTTCTTCCGAGCTCGATCCCATATGCGGACGCTCATGTCCCAGGAGCCGCTGAAGATCCTCGCAGAGTCCAGTGCAATGCAGGTGACGGGGCCTTCATGACCCCAGAGGCGGAATTCATGGCCAGCGGCGGTGGAGGAGGATCCGGTGATGTCGAACAGATGGGGGTGCCCCTCGACGGCCCTCCAGCAATGGAGGAAGGAGCCCGTTCCTCCGGCCACCAGGAGCTGCATGTCGGCGGCGACCGCCCTGATGGTGCAACCCAGAGACCTCGAGGAGGCGATGGCCAGGCCGTCTTCCATGTCCCAGGTCCTCACCACAGAGTCGTAGCCGCCGGTGAAGATGAGCTTCGCCGCCGGCAGGAGGAAGACAGAGCGGACCGCCTCGGTGTGGCCTCGGAGCACCTCCATGCTGAAGCGCCCCATGTACGAGTTGCTCCTGAACTCCCTCTCCACGAACAGCTCCTTCCATGTCTTATCTTCCGGCGAGCTCGAGCTGATCGGCGGCGAACCCAATGGCAGTCCCCATCGCCCGCAGTAGAACTCCTTCCACCCTCGGTGGTCGGAGGCGAGGCTGTAGAGTAGGGTGGACACGCAGGAGACGACTCCGAGATCTTTGGCGTTCAAGTGGCAGAGGATCTCAGAAACCAGGGCTGGGGGAAGGTCTGTAATCGATCGGCGTCCACCGGAAGATGGATCATCGACTGCTGTTACCGAGGATGTGGCGGTCCCCTTCTTCGGATGGGTGACAGATGCAGATTTCTCTGTCAGGAGCTTCTTCTCGGGCTTTGAGAATGGATTCGGACGAGATATTGTGGTAGAAATTAGATGCCTGGATTTAGCTTGTTTGTCCCACACCCGACCCACAGATATCTCCGACAGAGAATCCCCTCCTTCCCGGCATTCAAAGGCCATAAAATGAGGTTACCAGAAACAAGGTTGAGGACGAAATCTGCCCCAAATTCTTCCTTCTATTGGCGGAAGGAGGAAACCCTAGATCTGTCAAGCCTTAATTCGTTATGTAAAATTCAATTGAACATGGCGGTGGGAAGGGCGGAGCAAAAATAAGAATCTCGACAGAGATTTCTGAAGCCGAGCTTATACAATCGAAACCCTAAAATTGTCAGATCCCCAAATCACCTTCGAATGGACCTAGACGAACCTACCGGGAAAGAATGAATACCAAGGGGCAATTCAAACGAATGATAACAAATTATAAAGTAAACCGCAATGAGACCACCAATTCAAATCCTAGATTCTATGAACTAGGATCAGATAGAGAGGAAGAGCCAGAGAGCTATCACAGAATCGAATTCGCCCGTTCTTTCTCCCGGCAATAGACGAACGGTTCCGAACTATGAGAAGCGATCCGATCAAAAGGCTAAACAAGTATCAGCAACGAGAAAAAAATTAACTGAATGATTGAGAATAGGATGAACAGCGAGGAGTTTCGGTACCGCCCTCCTCGCCCTTCAAGGTCTCTGAGCGCTTCCCCTCCGCAGACTGCTGAGGGGCGGAGAAGCATGCGACGGAAAACCTAACGGGCGCTTTTTCATATAGATAACCCACGAAGATGACGCAGCAACCGTTGATCTTCACAGATCGACGGTGGACAAAGCGTATCACTGACGGCCAAGAGGCCGTCCCTGCCGTTCGATTAGTCAGAGGGTCATAATCGAATGACGTCACTTCGCGGGACAACGCTGTGTCAACGTCGGTAAGCCCTTTTGTCATTAATATCCTTAGTTTTTAAGATATGTGTTAAATAACGTTACTTTTATTTTATTTGCAAAATCTGCTTTTCTGACCCATGGGCCGACCTACTGCTGGCCCATCACATTTTGTTCCTTCCTTCGTAACCAAGGTAAGCCATCGGGCCAAGTCGCCGCGTTATGACGGAGTCACGATTCGACCGAGTCGTATGAGTCCGCATCTCGTTTGAGGCCGTCGTCAAACGTAGGGAAAGCTCCCTCCACCCACCTCACCGGCGATCGATCCTGTCGGCGACCGTGGCCGGCGGAGCATTTCAGAAGGCTCATTGAGCAGCGGCGGCGCCACCCCCCTCCGAACGCGTCTGCCTTTGCCTGCTGCGTCCGCATGATCTCAGCGGGGCGGCTTAGGAAGATCTAGCAGGAAAATTTTGTGGTCTTCGAAGTCAGATCTTATCTACTGGAGGGGAGGGATCGAGCAGGATTTCGTGCCTGAACTGCTACTTCCCTGCATTCTGCGGTTCCTCGTTTTTTGGTCGCGAGGCGGCACGGCGATATTCTGGTCTCTGATTTGTTCTTCCCAGCAACCGGTCGCCTTCCATTTGGGGAGAGTCGTGTGAATTTATATCGGTCTGCTTCTTCTCTGTGCGTTGATCAGGGATAATTTCTGTGAGTGCCTTCTCGCTGCTCTCTTTTGGCCTTCCTTTTAAGAAGGTGAACACATATGATTGGACACGGGGTTTGCCAATCTGAAGAAGGTGAAGAAGGTGGCCTTTTCCGGGTCACGTTTACTCATTGATTGCACACGGTTAGGTTCTTTTTGGGTTTTATATGAAACTAAATATTGTTTCAATAGAAATTTAATGGCGAAACTCTCATGGAATCGAGGTTACTTTTCTCTAAACATATGAAACTTCCATTTGGGAAGTTCAATTTTCATCTCTATGGCGAAACTCTTATGGAATCGAGAAATTTAATTTCACACTGTTTGCACATCTAAATATATGAAAGTTCCATTTGGGAAGTTTAATGTTCGTCTCTACTGTAGTGATATTTGGTCCATTTCAATGAAGAAAAAGGGAGTCGGTGTCACACTATTTTGTGCGATTTTAGTCGACGAGATTTCCTTTTTGTCTTCTCGAACCCTGTTTGAAAATATCTTGCGACAGATACTCATTTTTGTAAATTTATTCGTCTTCAGCCTAAAACTTATTTTTGGTATCATCCATTGAAATCCATTGTGCATTCCTTTTTTTTTATGGCAATCACGTTTCACGATCCATGTTTTAGTTTTATATGAGACGTCATAATACTTCTTGTACTAGTTTTTCTAGCCGTGATACTACAGAAATATAAAAAAACCACGAAATATGAAGATCATTAAGTTTTGTGGCCAGTGTCATGATCATAACTGCCAGTCATCTACCAATTCCAACTTATGAAGATCAGGGTTAAAATCTTTCACACCTTCCACTTGATCATATATAATACCTTGTTTTTATTCAACTCAAGTTTCACTTCATCCAATTTCTCATGATTTATCACTTTTCTGTTTTATAACACTCATAAAGTAGGAATAAATCTATCTGGTATCCTTAAAAAGTTCATTTTCACGTCTCCAAATCATCTCAAATGACTTCGTATGTACTTCAATCCTTATACCGCTTGCTCGTCATCTCTTTTATAGAACCATTTGATATGTAACACTACTTTCATTTTTTGACTCACAAGGCATCCACTTAAGCCGTAACATTTGACTAACTCTCATTTCTGAATATGACCGTACTTAGATACACAACGGTATGATTAGAGATAATCTGATTATATGATATGATACTTAAACTCAATTATAATTTTCTCTTCTGTATCTGATTTTTGTGTAAGAAAAAAATAGTTTATGACATTTACCATATCATACTTAAATTACTGTTTCTTAATTCTCTGACCACTTGAAACCTTAAAAATTATGAAAAAGTTGTTGGCACATTTTTTAATGTAATTCGTCCTTGATAATAGTCTTTACATTATAAATGAGATGAATTATTTCTTAAAGGGTGCATTCTTTAATCCTTTGCTTTTTTTATTTATTAGATAATGAAGCTCCTAGAATCTCATCCCTTCCCACTTTTTCTACCATTGGTAAATTTTGGTATTTCATAAAACTTGAGACCGAATTTCAGTGGCAGTCAGTCTTTACCCTTTCAGAATGCTTTCACTGAGGTATTTTCGTTGTGTCGTTTTGACAGATTTGAATCATGTCTTCAAGAACTGTAAGAAGGCGGCTCCGTCATGGGGATGTTGATGGCAAAACAAGTGAACATGTAGACATCCAAACATCGGATTCCTTGAATGAGCCTCTTCTTGGAGAACACGGACGTGATAAAAACCAAATTGAGGTAGTCTCCCTTTAGGATTGAGGGACTCCAACAAGAGGACACATTAGTCAATCTAGAACAACACATTATTCCCTCATTCCTTGTTTTTGATCATCTAGTTCTTTGTTACCTTCAGGAATATATTCATGGAGACAATCAGGATCTGTGGGATGAGAAGAAAAAGGAACGCATGCACTGGTCACTTCTATTCTCCCGACTGATTTCCCAGTGGGTACAGTGGCTAGGTATTCTTCTTTTATCTGTTCATATATTTTTTTTAATTTTTCTCACTCTGATAGCAAGCCATTTAAAATTTTAAAACAAGCCTGTGCACATCTCTAATCAACTCCATATCTCCGAAGTTATTTAGTTTACATCCAATCCTTCTATAAGTTTGTTTATTTCAAAGATGATATTCATATCCTTATTGGGATCTTTCCTGGGCCCTTCATATGCCACACAGACCCGAAAACTTTGTTGATATTGATGTTGATGATCTTTCCTCTCCACAGAGAATATCGTTGTTTGCTCAACTTCACTCGTAGGAAGACTCGTAGCTCTTCCATCGAGCATGCAGAATGGACGTGATAAACCATTTTACATGAGCCCTTTACAGGTAAATTTCAACCTAAAACCTTTCCGGGCATGACAGATTTGAAGGGAATATCCTTTCCCTATGTTTTCTTTTCTCAAAAAATATGCATTTATTAAATCTCCTTTATTCAAGAACGCATCAAAAGGCAATCCGGAGCTGGGCGTTCTTCGTGCTGAATATCTTTCCCCATAGAGTTTATTATGTCGGTTATCTGTTGATTAACAGAAGAACGAACCCTTTTATGCATGCACACACAATCATCCGTACCAAATCCCCATGCTATGATTTGCAGGAAGAGAGGCTGCAGGCATTGAGAAAGAGGTTGGAGGTTCCATTTGACGGCTCTCTCCCTGATCACCAAGTGACTTCTCTCTCTAGATTTCTAATCATCAAATATGGTCTGTACACAGAAAAACAGCTTGATAAAACAGGTTGATGACTTCATTTGACGACTCTCATCGCAGGATGCCCTGAAAAAACTATGGAAGCTGGCCTACCCCGGCCGAGAAATCCCCCCTCTCAAATCAGTGCTATGGAAGGATATGGGCTGGCAGGGCTCTGACCCGTCCACAGACTTCAGGCATCTTTTGCCTCCTCTGATTCTCCAATTTAATTTATTATTATTATTATTTAATTTTTTACATAAATGGGTGAAATTCATCCTATGCATTCCTTCAGGGGCGGCGGATTCATCTCTCTGGAAAACCTCATCTTCTTCGCCAAGAAATACCCCGTCAGTCTCCCTAGAAAGAGCTTCCCTTCTTAAATCTCACGCTCCATGGATGAACATGGCCCTTGTTGCAGGATGCCTTCCGCAACCTACTGAACAAGGAGGAAGGGGACAGGGCGGAGTGGGAGTACCCCTTCGCCGTGGCCGGCATCAACATATCCTTCATGCTATCTCAAATGCTGGATCTGCAGTCTGGTAGGCAGAGGAACTTCCAAGATCACAAGAAAGCAATTATTTTTAGGAACTTATAAGATCAAACCTTTTGACCCGGAACCAATTTCTTTCCAAAAATGAAAACCCATGAAGGAATTCAACGCCCTCTTGCAGGAGTGCCCTCCTCCAAGGTTGGGATCCGCTTCCTGGAGATCCTCGCTGCTGATGAATCAGCCTTCGACAACCTCTATTGTGTGGCCTTCCGGCTGCTGGACGCCCAGTGGCTCGCCAGACGAGCATCCTACATGGAATTCAACGTAACCACTCCCTTTCCCACAATAATGATAATAATAGTAATAATAATAATAATAATAATAATTATTATTATTATTTATTTATTTTTGGGTTTTCTTCTGGCAGGAAGTCTTGAAGCTGACACGTGTGCAGCTAGAGCGGGAGCTGATACTGGAGGATGTGTCCACCATCGCTGACCTCCCGGCTTACACCATGTTGGTAGTAAGATAGCCGGGATGGGGATGGGTCTCTGTATCTGATCAGCCAGCCATTATAATGCGATATGACGTCGCTGCTGATCATTCTTGAGAGATTCCACTATTATATGTGCAATTGAGATCCCTTCCCCCGGGAAAGAGGGGGGGTTGCTCCGACCTTGGAGAAGGCTCATCCTATGCTCTCCCATGCCATGAAGGGGTTCCAGCATTTGAGGGACACATTACTAGGTTTTAGAGAGAGAGAGAGAGAGAGAGAGAGAGAGAGAGAGAGAGAGAGAGAAAGGAAATTATATGGCTTCATAATTGATTTCAGTATTTCATGCAAGAAACTAAATTTATTAGGCCATTCGAGTAGTTGAATTAATGTGGATCATGAAAAGCATCATATGAGAGAGCTGGAATCCTTAAAATGGGGTCTTGTTTTGCCCAACATATCGTCATTCCATGGGTCGGATTAATCTGAACGTTTACCTTGTTCAATTTTTTCTTTTTAAAGAACTTAAAAATTATATTTTTAATGAATGAAAGTTGACTATTTATTTTGAATTTTTAGATTGTATATTACTTTAAACGATATTAAAATTACCCAGAATCGAAATAACTACATCAATAGAGTGGATAAAGAATTCTGGAAAAAAAATTGGGCAAATTGATCGATTCTGATGATAAATAAGCCCAGATGCGGGTGACTGGCCAAGGACCTCATTGTTAAGGACGTCTTTCTGACCGCCAAAGCCACCCGGAGCCAAGGACCTCATTCTGGGGGGTCACGAAGGGGATGAGCGGAACAGGGAGTCTACAAAGAGTTATGCCGCCGCTTCATTTTGGCAACAAAGGAGAATCGATCTAGAACCACCAGCTCTCATGACCCGACTGGTTCTTTGGCAGTCCAAACACTCAATCCGTGATCAAGGAGCCCCCATCAACACGTAGCACTCAGCTGACCCAGTTTCCATTGATCCGGTGGGGTAGCTAGTCCAGATCGTGTAGGAAGTCGAGCGAGAATAGAAGTCACCATATGCCGAAAATCGTCTTCTAACTCGAACCGCTGACATCCGCCACAGGGTAAACCACCGCGCCAAGGGCCCCCCGACGTGCCGGTCGTTCCACCACCGCCGGCTCCAAGCGGCTAACAACCCTCGTCTTCGGCCGATTTCTGGAGCGGCAGGTACGTTGCCCTTGTTAGCGATTTGAGATCCTGGAAGGTAAATTTCTAGGGCACCTGGAATCGATGACCTCATGGGCTCTGAATTGAGATTTTTTTCTGATTTACAAACGTCGTTCTTACGAATATCAAATGTTCTCAAAGACCTCTCCAGACATGGCTTCGCGGCGCAATGTTCGCTATTCCTCCCTTCCCGGAGAGGAGCAGGATGATGACAGCGGCGGCGCAGGGACCGGCGACCTCCGGTTTGCTTACTCTCCCTCGTCCTTTGACAGGATCCCGTGGAAGTCGATAGCCCTAGCACTATTCCTCCTCTCTCTAGGGTCGCTGCTTCTCTTCTTGTCTTATTTCGTATTCACCGGCCACATGGGAGGCGATCGATCTCAGGCCTATGGGTTCTTGGCGCTGGGTATTCTCTCTTTTCTTCCAGGTATGAAACAAAATTTTGAATCTATTTTCTTCTCTCTTTCAGTGCATTTTATTGATTGATTCTGAAAAAAGAAAATTGATTGGTGAGGATATTTTTCCTTGATGATATCTGATGATTGTTTGTTTATCTTGCCGACATAGCCGAATCTAATCCCTAAACTTAGAACACGAGGTCTCTGAGCCTTTCCTTCTTCTTCTTCTAAATGCTGGGTAGCTCTAGGATACTTTAGATGTAGGGAGTTTGGATTCCATTATTCCCATGAGTAGACTGGAAATTTCTTGTAGAAAAACTACGCCATGAAAAGAACCCAATCACTTATCGTCACTTATTCCTCTAATTTTTTGGCAATTCTTTGAATTTTTTTGGGTACTATACAAATGATCTTGGAAACCTGGAAATAGTCGTAAAAATATCATTTAATCTGATACTATTTAGGGTACAGAAGCCATTCAACCTCCTGTTCTTCTATATTTTGGGTAATTATCCCATTATTCCCATGAGCACACTGGAAACTTGTTCCTATAATTTTTTGGGTAATTCTTTCGAATTTTTTGGGTAATATACCAATGATCTTGGAAACCTAGAAATAGTCGAAAAAATATCGTTTAATCTGGTGCTATTCAACTTCCTGTTCTTCTATATTTTGAGTAATTGTCCCATTATTCCCATGAGTAGACTGGAAATTTGTTTCTCTAATTTTTTGGGTAATTCTTTCGATTTTTTGGGGTAATATACAGATGATCTTAGAAACTTGAAATAGTAAAAAATATATCGTTTAATCTGGTGTTATTCAACCTCCTGTTCTTCTAAATTTTGGATAATTATTATCTGATACTTCAAATTATTTCAAGAGTTCCGGGTTCTATCATTCCATGATCAAATCATCTTGAATATCTAAAAATGGTTGGAAGATTATTGTTCAATCTGGTTACCTAGAGTTCAGAGGCCATTGAGCCTTCTGTTCTTCTAAATTTTTGATTTTTCTATGGATCCTATAAGTTTTAGGAGACAAGTTTTAGATCATCCTCATGAACCAGCTAAAAAAACTGAAGATACTCCAAGAATCTTGCACACAGCTTGTATATAGAAAAGAATAATCAGAAGGTAAAGATTCTTGAGTAACCCAAAAACTTTATGTGGGGCTCTGTTCTTGACATTTTCCCACCTCAAGCAGCCTAGAAAATCTCGATTTTGGCCGTGCTTGCTTGGTTCATACGGACCAGCAATTTTGGGTAGGCTTCCTCATCATGAAACCCTTGATAACTGTCCATCCTTCGTCCAGTGGTAACCTTCTTTGCTGGAACTTCTGTCGATGCCTTTTAACGTATGATCCGGCCATGAGTTGAGTTTGATCTCCATAATTGATGCCAAGCTTCTTCTGGGCCCATTCATCGCCATTGGACAACCATCCTTCTGAATTGCTGTAGATGGTAATTCCATAATGTGTTAATCCAGCCAGTATCAATTTTGGGTAGATTTTAGAGTAGGTATTTCCACAATATATGCAGATGAACTTTGGGAATCATAGAATTAAAATAGATTTTAACATGATTGGCATATTTTTGTTGATAAAATGTAAGCCTTGCAGCACTTTCAGTACGGATAACAGAAACAGTGGATCTACATGCTTAATAATTATGTTAGGAATAATTGAATGTCTGGTGAAGATATTTGGTGCACAGATCATGTCTTCTTCTATCACCTGACCCATGAACTTTTCACTTTGATCCATTTAAGTGTATCCCTGGGGTTGGTAACAAAAATAGGAGATTAATACGATTTTGTGAGCACCCAATTGACAAATCTAAGTCTCAGGTTCTATTTAATCTGAGCGTCAGTGATTTCTTCTTTTTATGTTTGTTTAGAATGTAGCCTTTTCAGGTTGGGAAGATAATCTAATCTACATACATACACCTGAGATTTAAGGCCTGATTTCTCCCATATATTCTGTGGATATGGTTGACATCCACCGGATGGCAGCATGAGTTTTTTTTTTTTTCGAAGAATCCCAGAAATGTGATTACTCTCTGTAATGCCCAAAGACAGAAAATAAACTATAATTAGATACTACTTTCCAAAAAGGGGTGGTTTTTCTAGAATCCCTTTTTTTACAGCTGAATGCCCCAAGTGGTAATCAATTATTGACTTCATATTAGAGTTGACCACAGCAGGACCATTCGTTGTCGTCAAGGGACTATTCCCTAAGTTCCTTCTCTGATTTTGGTGATATGCCAGACCATCTAGCCACGCCAAGGCCACCTCTTTAAAGAAGTCCATAGAAGATAGATAGACAGACAGACAGACAGACAGACAGACAGACAGAGAGAGGGTGGGGAGGGGTGGGTGATCACCCATGTTTCTATCAGAAAAATATATGACTTTGGAAACTAGAAACGATATGCCTAACTTGATTTTATGAACGGACAATAAGTTCCTTTCCCTTTGCAATTGCATGTATTTTTTTTGGATGGATTATTTAGTTTTCTTGACATGTCTGCAACCCTGATTGTACATAATGGCCTTCCACTAGTTATCCTTACCATTTACCCATGTACGACGTCCTGTGCAGGGTTCTACGAGACGAGGATCGCCTACTACTCCTGGAGAGGCGCCAGGGGATACCGCTTCGCTTCCATTCCCGCCTACTAAATAAATGTCAACTCTGCTACTTCTAGTACCTTGTGTTTAACTATATCAACCCCACTAGCTTGCCCTTCTCTCTCTAACCCACCCTTTTTAACTGAGAGAAGTACCCACGAAGGGTGTTGAGGCCCGCCTTCAGAAGGGCATCGCCCAGAGGCCTGATTAAAGTATTCAGCAGAGAGAGTGAATTGAGGAGCTTACCTCCCCTTTAGGAGCTTTCCTAGGGGTGGAGCGACTAGTGATGAACTGAAGGATTGCCCATCTAAGTCCAGGAACAAAAAAGGGACCGAAGATAGACACTGAAGGGATTGTCCATCTTGTCTCTGGTCCATATGAACCAAGCAAGCACGGCCAAAATCAAGGTTTTATGGGTTGCTTGAGGTGGGAAAATGTCAAGAACAAAGCCCCACAGGAAGTTCTTGGGTTACTCAAGAATCTTTACCCTGTGATTATTTTTTTCCATATACAGGTTGTGTGCAAGATTCTTGGAGTATCTTCATTTTTTTTTTAGTTGGTTCATGAGGATGATCTGAAACTTGTCTCTTGAAACTTATAGGATCCAAAGAAAAATAAACAATTTAGAAGAACAGAAGGCTCAATGGCCTCTAAACTCTAAGTAACATCAGGTTGAACAATAATCTTCTGATCATTTTTAGATATCCAGGATGGTCTGATCATGGAATGATGGAACCCGGAACTCTTGAAATAATTCGGAGTATCATATAATTATCTAAAATTTAGAAGAACAGGAGGTTGAATGGCACCAGATTAAACAATATTTTTTCAACTATTCTCAAGTTCCCAAGATCGTATGTATATTACCCAAAAAATTTCAAAGAATTACCCAAAAAGATAAAGGAACAAAATTTCAATCTACTCATGAGAATGATGGAATAATTACCCAAAATATAGAAGAACATGAGGTTGAATGGCTTGTGTACCCTAAATAGCATCATATTAAACGATATTTTCCGACTATTTCTAATTTTCTGAGATCATTTGTATAGTACTCAAAGAATTACCTAAAAAATTAAAGAAATAAGTGACGATAAGTGATTGGGTTTTCTTCATGCGTAATTTGTTGACAAAAAAAATTCAGTTTACTCATGAGAATGATGGAATATAAACTCCTCATATCTTAAGTATCTCAGAACTACTCAGCATTTAGAACAAGAAGAAGAAAAGGTTTAGGGATTAGATTCGGTTATGTTGGCAAGATAAATAAACCATCACCAGATATCATCAGGGAAAAATATCCGCACCAACCGATTTTTTTTCTCGAATCAAACAATAAAATGCACTGAAAACAGAAAAGAAAATTAACCCAAGTTTTTGTTTCATACCTGGAAGGAAAAAGAGAATACCGAGTGCCAGGAACCCGTCGGCCTAAGATCGATCGCCTCCCATGTGGCCGGTGAATACGAAATAAGACAGGAAAAGAAGCAGTGACCTTAGAGAGAGGAGGAACAGTGCTAGGGCTATTGACTTCCACAGGATCTTATCAAAGGACGAGGGAGAGTAAGCACACCGGAGGTCGCCGGGCCCTGCGCCGTCGCTGTCATCGTCCTACTCTTCTCCAGGAACTTGAGAATAACGAACATTGTGCTGTGAAGCCACGTCTGAAGAGGTCTCTGAGAACATTCGATCTTTGTAAGAACGACATTTCTAAACCGGAAAAAATCCTCAATTCAGAGCCCGTGAGGCTGTCGATTCCAGGTGCCCTAGAATTTTACCTTCCAAAATCTCATATCACCCTAGAATTTAATTTCTATGATTTTTAGTGATTGAATTTTTTGTTGAATGGCCTTGGGACATTAAACAATTATACTTCTTTTCAGGTTACTACTGCGTGGGGCATAGGACTGGTTACTGGCCCTGCAATTGGAGGTTACCTTGCACAGGTAAGTATACTCCCCATCGATGTTATTATGCATGGCTTCTGTTCAGAAAATTTTCATACCGAAAAATACCCACCTCTGGGGGGGTAGTTTTTATTGTTCTCTTGCTCTCCAAGAGACAACACTGAAAACTAATGAGAAACTCTTTCATGTCAAAATTATACACCATTATACTGAGAGTTGAAGATTTCTGTAGGTTGTAAAGAGGATCAGTGGAGCAGTATCTTCCTCCCAGATACCCTAGGCGGACCTAATGGTACTTCTATTGTAGGCTCAAGGGTGTCCACAATGGATCTAGGTTTTTGCTAACAACACTATGATATCCGCATGTCTCCATCAGAGAGAAGTGCGCCTTATTGTTTATATAGTCCATGATTCACCTTGATAAGAGTTCTAACAAGTTCATACCGAAGTATACCAAGCTCCCTTAAAAGAACTATAATACATATTTCCACCCTTAACTAGATTCAGCTACTTCAAATTTCTTAAGCTTAACGAGATCTTTGACCACAAATTCCCTAGAAAGCTTTGTGTTTAACAGTTTAATTCTCTACATAAATTTGTGATCACCTCATATCATTATCATAACTATTGAGTCACAAAACCTTTCATTCTTGCCATTTTGTAAATAAGGTATGATCAGCATTCCAATGTTCATAGTCAAAAGTGATCACTACGTTTTCCAAGTCTATTAGATCAGGCTTACGGAGATTGACTTAATTAGTAAATAGATCATTCTTCAACCTGCATACTTATTCTTAAATAGTGTAACCAGGTGGGCAACGCATACAACTTTCTCTTGAAAGTCTCTATTTAGAAACGCATTTTTCGCATCAAATTAGTAGAGCTTCATCTTCTGTTATGTTTCTAAGTCCTCAAATTAAACATGCCCAGAAAAAGCCTTACAAGAAAGAGGAGTGAAAGAATAGTAACAGAAAATACAGCTTCCTTACAAATATATGATATCCCTAGATAATAATGAGAAGAATATATATATTGAACGATGTATATTTAGGAATAATATCTCTGATAATCCCAACATCGAATAAAAGTATGAGACATTTTTCTCTATGTTTTGAATATGTGATAAGTCGTTTGCGTTAAGAAAAAGACTTGGGATCATGTATGCGTAGAACTGTTCATAAAGGTGGTTAGTAGTTATATCATCCGACTGAAATTTCTTGAAAATTTTTTAAATCTGTGACATAATGGGAATTTGTGGTGTTTAAGCGTTTTTTACTATTTTACTCGATTTATTGAACCTATTTCCTCAATCTCATCTGTACATTTTCCACAGCCCGTGGACAAGTTTCCAATTTTATTTTCTAAATAATCCATTTTTGGAAGGTGAAATTTTCTGTCTTTTTATTGGATTTCTTCATAAATGAATTTTTCCTGCCCTAAATGGTGGCGTTCTTGTGTTAATAATATGTTTTTCACCTCCTTATGTCCTTTGGTACTTTATATCCCTCAGTACGACCACTAGGAAGCCATTACGTGATTATGCTACTCAAATAAGTCTGTTATGTTGCATGTTTGGATTTGGTGAAAAGCATTCGTGGGAATGAATAATGTTCTTTAGTTGATCGAAACCCTATCATTTTCTCTGCGATTAGTTCGGGATGTTAACTTTGCATATTTGAAGTATGCACGACGTATCCAACATGAGAAATATTTCTATGGACAGTAGCTTGGGAGTGTACTGCCAGGCCTGGATTATAATCTGAGTCGAGAGCTTTGAATTTGTTTGAAAAGCCTAAGCCTTCACATCCGAAACTGAAAAATCATCAGTTGGAGAATCGTTTTTACAAGGTGGGCATGGTTAAGGCAGAATGGAAATATTTCACTACTAAATGAGTTAGTCTTGGCTTCTTCTTCCTTTATGTATAGAGACAGGGCAAGAAGATAAAGTCCAATCTGACCCTAAGCAGAAGCTTTTGACATCTTTCGAGGAATAAGCAAGCCATGCTCTACCTTAGTTCTCGGAGTCCTAATATCAATTCATCCAGACAGAAACTTGGAGATAAGGGCACCCATTAATAGTAATAGGTTCAAAAACAAATTGTTTCAATCAATCGACAACAACATAAGGAAGATACAAGGCAAACGCGTAAAACACTTCGAGAGAGCGCTCCTTCCCATTCCAGTATCTCGCTCTCTCAAAGTGTTGTTGCAATGCTAACGAGATACTAGCTGTTGGCATGTAGTACTGGGCATGTTTTGGGTAGCTAGCTAAAGACCAATTGGGTTTCCGTTGACAATTGCAGCGCTACTTTACCCTCTTGCTTACTTTTTTAGGCACATGATATTATTCTCCCTATTACTGGAGTACACCCACAACAGTAATTTCAAGTAGTAAGGAAATGTTACATGCGATAAATCACTCGATAGAGAGTTCTGTTGTGTTGGATGCTCCATAACGATCATATTTAATTAATGCATGCTAAACAATCATTTAAAGGCCCCTGTAGCAGAACAATATAACCTTTGTCCTATGATTTTAAGCTAGCGTGTGCAAAGTGAAGGGCAGGAACAGACGCTCCGTAGAAATTGATGCTCGCTCCCAGTAGATGCTCCAGAGATGTTCAAGGATGTTGTCGTGAATTTCCACTGCTTTTAAATAAATCCGGAATTTGACGTTCAAATCCTAAGTTCCTTTGCCCGTTCTGTGGCTCAAAGAACCAGACAAATAACTTCTTGAATTCCACAGGTGCATGCTTCAAGTTATGTCCTACTAAGAACTATTCAGGAGAAGATAAGTCGATATAATATTGTTTTTATATGTAGAAAACTGAAAATTTCTCCAAATCGTACTTCATCGCCAGTCTCTGCTCAGCGTTGATTTGTACAAATATATATTTAAGGGGACCTCAAAATTATGAAGACATATATATGTAGTTTTAATATATTTCAATGTAACTTAACTCGGATTATCCTGATGCCTATTGGTCATTGAAACTATGGATATACTACGCGGTCAGTCAGACTGTGTAGCATCCAGTCAGATATGAGACTATCTACCACAGCTTTATAATTCGATTATGAGTCATTGAATTTCGAGTTAATGAATAAAAAATCATGGTCCAGATGAATTCATTATTAAATGTC